TATGGAATTTAAGAAAAAAAAATGTCATGAAGAACCTAGGGGTAAGATAGGAATAAAGACACAGACCTATTAGAGAACGGACTTGGGGATATGGGGAGGGGGAAGGGTGAGCTGTGACAGGGCGAGGGAGAGGCATGGACATATATACACTACGAAACGTAGGGTAGATAGATGGTGGGAAGCAGCTGCATAGCACAGGGAGATCAACTCAGTGCTTTGTGACCGCCTGGAGGGGTGGGGTGGGGAGGGTGGGAGGGAGGGAGACGCAAGAGGGAAGAGATATGGGAACATATGTATATGTATAACTGATTCACTTTGTTATAAAGCAGAAACTAACACACCATTGTAAAGCAATTATACCCCAATAAAGATGTCAAAAAAAAAAGATTATATAGACTTCATAAGATGAATAAAGAAGCATTCTTCCAAAAAAAAAAAAAAGAGAAAATTTATTATTGTCTTTTAACCATAGATCTGGCAAAATCAGTGGTCCCGAGAAAGCCTTAGATTATTAAGTTTATTCAAGATTATTGGCAATTCTTGTGTACATGTTCAAATTATTTAGGGTAAATTTATAAGCACTCCTGATCATTTGTATGATTAGAAGCAAGTCGTTCTGCCTCTGAAAGTGAAATGCATCATTCCTCTCTGAAAGCATATTGGATATTGGAATCTCACAGTTCTTTTTTTCTTTTGGTTTACTTGAGGCATTTAATCTAAAAGTAAAAATTTTACATTTGGGGTGTTACCTGTAAGAGAGGACTTTTATACTATGAAGGAAAGGTGCTAAGGCCAAATGTCTTCAAGTTTGGGTAGATTCTGTATTAATGTCCTATGTCTTCATTACAAAAATCAAATTGTAATTAATTTTGCCTTTACCTCTCACATTATTCTGGGTGGCTAAATCAGTGATTCTGATTGCATATGAGAACACCTGGAGAGATTTTTAAAAAGCTTGTTCCCGGGCTTCCCTGGTGGCACAGTGGTTGGGGGTCCGCCTGCCGATGCAGGGGACACGGGTTCGTGCCCCGGTCAGGGAAGATCCCACGTGCCGCGAAGCGGCTGGGCCCGTGGGCCATGGCCGATGAGCCTGAGCGTCCGGAGCCTGTGCTCCACAACGGGAGAGGCCACAACAGTGAGAGGCCCACGTACTGCCAAAAAAATAAATAAATAAATAAATAAAATAAAAAGCTTGTTCCCTAGCCTTATACCCCCTAGATTTCTAAGTGGAGGCCTGGGAAATAGTATATTTAAAAGCTCACCCAGCTTATTCTAATGTGGTCAGGGCTAAGAACCACTTCATGAGAACAGTGATCAAGTTACCTCGTTTCTCTGTCTCTCTTCCCCTTATAAATATTTATTCATTGAGTGAATGAACAACTCACCATGGAAGTAGATGTAGGCCCAATTTTTTTTTTTTTTCAGTACGCAGGCCTCTCACTGTTGTGGCCTCTCCCGCTGCGGAGCACAGGCTCCAGACGCGCAGGCTCAGCGGCCATGGCTCACGGGCCCAGCCACTCCGCGGCATGTGGGATCTTCCTGGACCGGGGCACGAACCCATGTCTCCTGCATCGGCAGGCGGACTCTCAACCACTGCGCCACCAGGGAAGCCCTAGGCCCAATTTTATATACTGCTTTTTACTTTCATTTGCTGGTGAAAAATTTACCTTTGGTGCTATGTACACTTTAGGAACATCAGTCTTTTCTTTTTTTGGCCATGCTGCATAGTTTGCGGGATCTTAGTTCCCCGACCAGGGATTGAACCCTCCTCAGCAGTGAAAGTGCGGAGTCCTAACCACTGGACCGCCAGGGAATTCCCAGGAACATCAGTCTTAAATATGCAAAATAGGCAGAATCTTACAATGAACTTGTGACCCAACTGGATTTTTGCTGGCCCATCAAGAGAGGACAAGTCAATTCGAGAATGATGGAGGTGTCTGTGTTTCTAGGGAAGTCATGTTCTGGTCTTTGTTTTATAAATACACCCTTTACATCTGGATCTTCCTGGAGTGTTCTGATTCTTTATAATCTTATTCTTTCCACAAAGTTAAATTTGTTAAATATATTAAAAATGCATTTTAATTCATTTATTTCCTGAAACCAAATTTATGAATCCTAAGAAAAAAATGTTGTGCTGTCTCCCAATTTGATGTTTGGAAAATATTGCTATGCCTATAGTAGTTAGAATAGGTGACTTTAACTAATTTAAATCTCGGGGGAAGAGAATAACACCCAGTGTTCATATTTTACATGTAAAAAGCTAGAATCCCTGAACCCTGGAATGTCATCTAATTTGTCCAACTATTTTACCTTCGCTGTAGAAGGTGATACTTTCAACTCTAATTAGCTGCTTGCCTAGAGCTAATTTTTCTTTGAAAACTTCCTGGACAGTAAATAGAAGAGAGGTATATTAATTTCTTTCTGGCTCAGAGGTGGTCTACTTTTGGCTCTTGTAGGAGTGATATCACGTCTGTGGCCCTCTGTGGTGTATGGCCGGGCCCATCTGTCACTAGTCCCTCTTTCATCCTTTCCCTCACTTCCTTTGCCCTAGCTTCGGCCCCACTGAGCTGTCACTCTGAGACCCAGGTAGTGGTCACAGAATTACGGATAAACCACAGAGAAGCTGCAGAAGGTCCTGATGGTGTCTGCTTGTATAATGGTTCTAACTGCCCCCTTGTATGGAATTGCAAAACGTTTTGAGCACCTTAGAAGGAAGGCACTATGTAAACGTAAGGTACTTTTTATTAGTTGTTTATTTGTGCTTATTATTAGCAATTTAAAAATTGAGAGCATCAGAGGAATAGTTTGGTTATTTCTTCAGAGTTGAGACCTGTGTTTTAGGCCAGTGCCATTCCATATTATTAAATATTGTATCAGTGTTTTCTATAAAATATTATTTTAAATTTTAAGGCTTTGCATCTTTGCTATTTGATTGGAATGAATAGTTTTCTTATTTATTTAACTTTCTGTTTGAAACTAGAATGGCTGCAAATTCTGGTGATACAACACCTAGAAATAGAACTCTTTGTGGACAAAATTCTTTTGCTGTGTAATAGGGCAATCTTAGATCTACACGCAAGGGAAATAACACATTTTCTTAGCCAAAGACAACAGGTGTTCTGTATTGTTGGTTTTATTAAGGGAAAAAAATGATTAATTCTGAAGCTAAAGACTAAATCTAACTGGCACTAGTATATTCAATTTTACTGAGAGGTAACACTTGAGAATCCTTTATTTTGTGAATGATGCCATCACTTTTTCTTACTCCTACACAGCAGCTGTGCACAGTGAGCACACTTCACAGTAAAGACTGAGGAAACTTTCTTTCTTTCCTTTTTTTTTTTTTTTGTTCGGCCACACAGCTTGTGGGATCCTAATTCCCTGACCAGGGATTGAACCTGGGCCTTTGGCAGTGAAAGCGCCAAGCTGTAACCGCTGGACCTCCAGGGAATTCCCTTTTAGGAAACTTTCATTACCGTCTGCTAAATTCTAAGTTGTAGAATCATTTTTAGGTTGATATATGGAGTAGGATTCTCAGTTTTCTCACTTCTAGATGTAATCATTTTGAGAAAAAAAAAGTGCTTCTAAATCAAAATATACATTTCTAAAATGCCCTTGACATTTTAAAATGTAAGCCAAAAGTGGAGATTCAAGTGTACTTGTGTAAGTATTGATGTCATATAGTTTTAGACTTAAACTCGATCATCTTTTATAAAGAATCTATGTATGTGTTCACATAGGAAATCATGACCATTTGGATGAAGAAATGAGAGGAGTATAAATTTATACGGCTACTTCAAATCTTCATCCTTTAAAAAACTTTTTCTGTGATATGCTTAGAAGCCTGTTTTATTTCTACCAAATCAATAGTGAACATAAGAAATTCAGGTGATGGTAAATATTTTGCTTATTGAAGGGGTCAAAGGGTGGTGGTGCTTCCATTCCATTAAAGTGCTTTAGTTTAGGTTGAGAGTGTTACACAAGGAGAGAATTACTTCAAGGGTTCAGAGTATCGTAAAGGGAACATAAGATGGGAAAACTGGCACTAAATGCATTGAAGTTTTGTTTCTCAGTTTAAGAGGTGGCCTTGGAAGACCGTGTGATACTGTATTATAGTATTTGCCTGTTATACCCTGGAGAATGTCCAGGGTCACTTTGGAGTGTGTGACTTGGGAGGGATTTAGTGTTATCTTCTCTTTTCTTCTATTCTCTGGCCCTTTCTTTTTTCCCATGGTCCATGTTTCAATTATTTTTTATGTCAGTCATTGTAGGAAAGCCCTTATCTCCACAGTAAATGTCACATCTTTGGTGCATCTGAGCTGCCTAATATGCCTTCCTCTTGCTGCTTTGTCAGTCTTGCATTTTTACTAGCTCTCTCAGTGTCTGAATTAGACACTCTCCCGGGCAGCAGATTTTCTAATTGCTTAAGCTCTGAAGTTTGCCAAAGAGCTAGAACTGTTCCACATGACCAGGGTATCAACTTGTGCACCTAATGTGCCTCTAACCTGAGAACAAAATTTTAATAATTGCCAAAGTTTGCTTAACACATGCCTTCAGCAAACTGGACTCTGACAGCGCTTGAGGTAAACGCCCGCTATCCTTTGTCTGGTTCCCTGCCAAGTGACTCTTTGCAGGGCTATCTTAGGAATTCGGTTGGCATTTCTTTTGTTCTTTGTTGACCATTGACCAATATGACCGTTGCTTCCCCTACTTTTGTAACGTGGTGGCAGGAAGGAAGGGAGGAAGGAAGGACAGGGGTCGTTGCCAATACCCGACGGAGTGGACTGGGTTTGGAGAATGTAGAAACGGGGCCCCTTGTCCTTACTTCCACTTATACCCCCTTATCCTAGTCACTAACAAGATACGTTTCTACATTCATAGGATGTCTGGAGTTTGTGTGTGTTTGCTTGTTTGTGTTATCCTTGGGAAATGTTCACTAACGACTGCTTGGGGTGTGAAGGTAATCTCTATTCTTCTATTTTCTGATTTCTGAACTTCAGGAGAAGGTAAAGCTTGATGCTGAAAGGGAAAAACTAGAGAGGCTTCAGGAGCTTTACTCCGAGCAGAAGACCCAGCTGGACAATTGTCCTGAGTCCATGAGGGAACAGTTGCAGCAACAACTGAAGAGGGTCAGTAGCAAACAGGAATGTGCTAGTTGTTTTCTGTTTTTTTGTTTTTTTCAATTAAGTTCCACTTACCTATGACTTCCTCCTTCACATAGCATAAATTTGCATAAATTCTGGTCATTAGATACGTTTTAAATAAAAATATGCATGCTGACCATATATATTCCATGCTAATCAGTTGAAAAATTCCTTGTTGGAATCCTTTGCCTCATTAATAATGCAAAAACATTTCCCAAGTCCTTTTTTGTAACAAAAGAGAGCTATTACTGACATGTAATCAAGAAGACTGTAGCGTTTAAATCAGCTGATGTCTTTCCCTGCATTCTGTTCTCTGCTGCATCTTGAGTCCTGTTTGCCCTCGAATGTTTCTTTTTTTTCCTCCTCTTGATTTTATACTCCTGTCCACAAATGTTTCTATTCTCTGATTTGCTCCCCACCACCACTCATCATTTTGTTTTTCTTTTCCTTTCTTCTTCTTAGTGACCTTGAACTCATTAGCATGATCACAACAATCAAACAAGACCCAAGATGCAGGGCATTTAACATTTTCTCATACAAGCTTCATATTTTTTAAAACTTCGTGAAGCATAGATCATCTAGTTGAACTTTATTCTTCGATCTTTAATGTTGGCAGTGTTGAAACAACCTCGATACTTATCTTCCTAGGTGGATAGTTTTGCAGACACTAGCAAGGCCACTTGATATTTCAGAGCCGCTTGACAGCTGCGTTATTTGCTCTAAACAGCAGCCCAAATAGACTGTGCCTCTGGAGAGGCAGTGGTTAACAGTCTTGGACCTCTAAAGGAGCCTAATAGTAATTAGTCCTAAGTCAATAGCAACTTATGATTCCACATGAGTAGGAAAGAAGACTAGTTTTATTCATATTGCTATGTCTGTACCTTCTTGGGCAACTGGGAAAAAGTCAGTTAAAAGATAGCACACCCCTGAAAATGTTTAAGATGACCTTGAATACAAATATGTTTGATATCTCTGAGTATCACTAGGTTATGAAAAATTGCAGTTGAAACTTTTCAATGTATTGTACAGGTTGAATAAAAAGTACCCAGTATAGACAGGTGAAAACTACAGTGTAACGGTTCTAATATTTTTAATTTTTTACAATGTTGGATCAAAAAAAGTTTCAAAAATATTTCTTCCCCTTTACTCATTTTATCATGTACAGCTTAATTTGCTATAAGAAGATAAAACTTCCTGTCCCTCAGTGTCCCAAGGCTCTGAAAGTCTTATGATAAAAAGTGATTGGAAAAAGAATAGTATTTGTACAATTATTTTAGCTTGTAATTTTTTTGTGTTTATGCCAGTTCACAAAAGAGATTGGGAAACTGATTTTTTAATATTTGTTTACTGTTTTTCAACTTTCCTTATTGCTAAAGATTTTACATAGTCACCATAACGCTTTATGTAGAGTCAGAAGCATGGTTATGTATTTTGTTCTTCCCTTCCTTTAGTTATCCAGTTATTGTTTGTATTCTTCATAAATATTGCTTCAAATAAAAATTGATAGATTCTATTAATAACCTGGAGTCAGCATGATAGGAATAATTACTTATTTTCTAATTTTGTAATTAAGTAGTTATAAATTACTTAATTTGCTTAATCTGTTAGATTCTATAGGATAACTCATAAATTTGTATATGTTCCAAGAATTTTGACTAAAAACGAGGAAAGGAAATGATACAGACAGCCTGTTCCACTAACTGAAGGCAAAGACTCCTTCCTCTTCCTTTCCAGGCAGAGTGCAAAATTCTTATCATAAAACCCCTTTCCTTAGGAGAGAAAACTGGTTCGTGCTAGCTTCTGTTCACCTGATATTAAGAGAACTACTAATTCTGTTTTCCAGGGAAGGATGATGACCAAAAATAACTCTTCACCAGTCCTTTGGCTTAATCAGTAAAAAGTTCACTTATTTCATGAGAAGTCCATTCATACTGGAACTTCCTGTCTTATCACAACTCATTTCCCTTCAGATTTCAAACACTCCAGAATAGCACTTCATTACAAAGCTTTCCCCAAGGCATTTAAGCTAGATTCAATAAAGTTGATTTTATTACAAGTAACTTCATTAGGCAGCAAGTCAGACAAAATAGAAAATAAATGAATAGGAAGAAAATCATTTTCTTAAACTGTATGCTGTCTCAAATACTTAAGCCGAAGCTGTAGAATGATTTTGTGCATGCAGCACTATGGATTTATGACTGGGCTTCTGACCCCTAAATCATTGCTTTAAAGCAGAATACAGTTTTCATCCAACGTTGATTTCATGGCCCATGGTTTAATGTAGTTGATAACGGGCTCACCAATCGAATTGTTCCCTGGGATACAAGTAGTGTGAGAAAAAAACCCTGAAGAAAATTGAGCCTTTCATCTGCTGCAGAGGACTGGCTAGGATAGTATTGTTGTGTTTTGGTATTTACTCAGCTGAATGGTTGATTTCGGTCTCTTAATTTTTAAACAATTCTGTTCAGTGATATCTACAATTAGCTTTTTTTTTTTTCTCACTAGCTCTACAATGAGTTTATCCTTTAACCTTGGACAAGTCATTCAACCTCTGTGGGCCTCAATATCCGCATGTATAAAATGAGAAGATCGTACTACATGATTTCCATTGTCTTTTTCCAAGTTCCAAAAGTATGCAAAAAAGTGTTTGACTGTAGCACATAAGAGGAGAAATAGTAACAAACCCTGAGCTCCATTTAAATTTGCTTTCAAAATTGACCTTGAGCTGTCCTAAGATTATTCCTGTAATCTCCCCTGGCCATTCCATGTCTAGTCTCTTCTTTCTGTTCCTCTACTAGGCAAAGAAAACATAAAGTTGTACGTGTAAACTTCTGCCATATACATTCTCAAAAGTTATTGGAAGGAAAAAAGGAATTCCGTTGAATTTTCTTTAGCACGGCTGTCTTATTTCCTTTCACTCCTGGCCTTTGAACTTGCCAGCCAGTAGAGATTTGTCATGTTCTTTTAGTGGAGAAGTTTAGTTAAAATTTTCACTCAACTGGTCATACACTTGACTTTGAGCTTCCTGTATATATTATTCTGTGCTCAATTAAACTACTCCTGCCCCCAAATTCCATCTCTTGAATTCTTATTCTTATCTAAAATCTTGTAAAAGTTTTTTCCCCTCCCAAGTTGTTTTTCTTTCACAGTGTAAGTTTATATACACACGTTTTAATGGTTTAGATAACTTGATCAGATGATTACACCAGAAGAATCTGAGTGCTGAGCTAAGCTTTAATTTTCAACTTTCCTGCCTAGTGTGCTATTATTTTCATGTAGTGGTTTAAATATTTACTACAAATAAATTAATGGCTCTGTGACCTTCATGTGGTTAAAATAGCATATGTTGCACATTAACCAGATGTGGAGTAAGCGACTGACTAGCATAGTGTATATATTGTGAGCCATATGCCCACTTTGAATGAAGATTCTTTATAAACTAAAAAATAAAAAAGCCTATTAAAATTTTTATCTCAATAAGCTTTAGCTGCAAACCAAGTTTAATTGAAAAACCTTAAAAACTTGAGTATGGAGGCCTGTATGAATAAACATATCACTGATGTTTTAAGACTACAGATATTTTGTTTCAAGACATAACACTAGTGTTATGTCTCAGTTCCTTTAGCAGTGACTAGATTTGGTCCACATTCATTAATTCCTGTAGAAGTTATAAGCATGAAATGTCTGATAAACTTGAAATGTCACCCAGTTACTTGAAACCAAGACCACTTTACATTTGGCCAATTAAAATATAAGGAAGCTTTAAGAAATGCTGAATATGTTTTTCAAATTGTTTTTCCTGTTCTTAGGCTTTGAGAACACACTGTCTGTGTTGACATAATAATCTTGTTGCTATAGTGTTGGTTGTAATTTCATGGTAGCACATAGTCCTTCTGTGAATCATCCCCAGAATAAACTCATTCCAGAAGATAGAAAAATATTCCATTTGATTAGAAGACATATATAAGTTTATCACTTATATAAAAACCAGGGGAAGGGGTGGTGTGTTTAAATACTGATATAGATCTAATTTATCATATATTTATTTATCCAACTCTTTTTAATGTGTCAATTGAAAAAAATGCCCTGGCACTTCTACCCATGTAGCGCTATGAGCCATGTAGCCTAGCTGCCTTTTTCATTTTTGGTCATTAATTATTTATAAATTATATTAAAAAAAAAACTTCTATACATACCACATTTACAGTTCTGTCAAAGGCTCCCAAAATAAGGAGGGTTTTGTGTGTGTGTGTGTGGTTTTGTTTTTTTGTTTTTTAAGTAGATGGGAGAACAACTCATACAACATGCAGCAGTCTCTGCTGAGATACAGATTCACTCCTGTCTTCAGACATCTCATAGGTTGGAGAATGCCTCTTCTAGACTATCTGACTTCTGTGATTTCTGTTTGTCCTTAAATGTCCTGAAGATTATTCCTAGAATAATCTTAACCTTTCAGTTAACCTTTCGAGTGCTTAACCTTTTGAGTCATTCTTTGTGCTTGATGAATGCTGTGGTTCCTATTGTTTCTAATAAAAAGGTTTGTAAACAATTTTAAGGGATTCACAGAAGCCCAGTTTAAGAACTCCAATCTTCAAATGTTTTTGGTGACTTCTCCCTTCATTACAATTATTTGAGGGCTTCCCTGGTGGCGCAGTGGTTGAGAGTCCACCTGCCGATGTAGGGGACACGGGTTCGTGCCCCTGTCCGGGAAGATCCCACATGCCGCGGAGCGGCTGGGCCCGTGAGCCATGGCCGCTGAGCCTGCGCGTACGGAGCCTGTGCTCCGCAACGGGAGAGGCCACAGAAGTGAGAGGCCCGCGTACCGCAAAAAAAAAAATTATTTGAGCATGCATGCCTACATATACATACATATAGGTAACATTATATTATAAATGTATATATTATATGTATTGCATACATACTCAAAATATATATATTCTTTTAAAATAATGTACATATACTACTCTACTTGCAAATACATTAGAGAACATTTATTGAGAATTTGTAAAAGAAGAGAAAAAACTAAAAAAAAATATAAAGAAGCTCTAATATTCCTTCCTCACATCCCAGTGCCTTGTGTGGTATGCCATTTGGGGTACATATATTCCTCTTAGAGACCTCTGATCTGTTAGGTATGCCAACTTTTTTTTTTTTTTTTTTTTTTTTTTTTT